CAGAACTACTTAGGCCACTCCAGAATTCCTGACCCATAGAAATGGACAGAAAATAAATGTTTATTGCTTGAAGCCACTCAGTTTTGGGGTTATTTTTTTCTTAGAAATAGGGTCCCACTCTGTTGCACAGATTAAAGTGCGGTGGCGTGATCATAGCTCACTGCAGCTCAACATCCTGAAGCCTCTGAGTAGCTAGGACTACAGGTGTGCACCACCACACTCAACTAATAATTTGGGGTAATTTATTATGCAATAACAGACAACTACTGCACATTGCTAGGTCTCTTTTGAGCTAAAAAGTCAAGAGAGCTTCCTGAAGGAGTCAGTTATTTCCTCTGTCCCCTAACGCACTTTAACCCTTGCCTCTCATCTGTCTTGGGTTACATAAAAAGGCACAAGACAGATTTGTTTTTAAATCCAGGCTTCCCAGTTTACTATTTGGATGACTGGAGGATTTTTCTCATAACAAATTCTTCTCCTCCTCCTTTTTATTTCTTCTTCCTCCTTTCCTTTCCCCTCTAGTTACTTTTCTTCATCAGTCTTGCTTTAGTAATAGTAGCATTTAGTAGCAATGGCTGTCATGTTGTAGGTATTATGTACGTGGCACTGTGCTAGGGGATCTGTGGGCATTATTCTATTTGATTTCCTCAATGGGCCTGGTGGTCATGGTGGACATTATTATATACAGTAATTTTTATTATGTATTATTATACATGATAATTTTAAAAAATAGGTAAAACCCAGGTTCAGGGCTGTTGAGGCACTTACCCAGGATCAAATGGAAGGAATCAGGATTGGAAGTAGGTTTGTCTGAGTCCAAATCCTGTGCTCATTCCCATTTTATGCTTTTACTTGTGAGCCTCAGCTTTCTCATGTGTAAAGTGGGGAGAAGACTGACTTCACAGATTCCTGTTGGGATGAGGACAGCAGGCGGCTTTACAGCACTCAGCCCTGGTGTGTGGCTTACAGCAGGTGTTTGGTAAGTGGGGGCTCCCTTGCCCTCCCTTTTTCTCCCCTGTCTTATGTACTTTCGCACGGGCTGTCTTGACTCTCATGCAAACAGGGCCATGCTAAGTGCCTCTCACAAAGAAAGCAGCAGGGAGTTGATGTGGCCAAGAGCTGCAGACCCCTGGTCATGCCCCAGGATACAGTGGATGTCCTGGATCTGGGGCCCACGGAGATGGTGACACCAGCTCTGACCCACCCACTGCGTCTGTGCAATGTGCTGGCTCTGTGCTCCGACAGGGAAGGGCCCTTCCTGAGCTCACACGGAAGGGAAGAGCTGAAGCCTGTATTCATACCCTGGCCAGTGCCTGTGGAGAGGCTGGGTGTGTAGCGGCTCGTCTCCAGCTGGAGAATCCCAGCTGAGAAAACATTGTCCTGGCGGGTATCGCATCATCTCTCAGATCAAGCAAGAAGCCCCAATTAATTACAAGTGCTAAGTGAGTGGTCTGGAAGCAGGATTTTGCAGTCAATTAAGGGATGCTGGGGGAGGCTTCATTAACCCCCTACTTCCTGGCAGCTTTTGGTTTAGGAGAAAGAGGGGAGCTGCCTGCCTAGAATGAGCTTCCCGACCCTGTGGGGAATGTAAGCAGGATTGTGCCCTCTACCAAAGATGGCACAGGAGGTTTTCCTGAATTGCATGGGAGGATGGATTTGACTTTAAACCCCTTTCCCATCCCAGGTTTCTTGATTTCTTGTGTTTTGATCCTGCAGTGAAGTCAATAGTCAAGGCATGGCTACATTTTGGGGTTCACCTTCTTCATAACCCCAGCTGATCATCCTCAGTCTGCACATCTGAGCATGTTACACCTCTGCTCAATGCCCTTCAGTGACTTCCCATTGCCTGCAGGTTGAGTCCAAGCTCCACTTCTTGGCACCTGGGTTGAAGTCCCGGACCTCTCAGCCTTTCACTGAGAGCTCAATGAATTCATGCGGACGCCTTCTGTTTCTGTCTCCTCAATTCCCACTGCCCAGGTTGAACTTATTTTGTCTGATCCATGCCTTTGTTCATGCCAGTCCCTCTCCTGGAGGTGCCCTCCTTCTCCACCAGGCTGATTCCTCCTCATTTAAGACTCATCCCAGATGTAAACCCCTCCAGGGAGCCTGCACCATGATCCCGAGTTCACCCATGGCACTGCTCATGCTGTGGTGGGCGGCTGGTCTGTTCTCCATCGTCTCCTCCTTCTGCATGTAAGTTCCTGAAGGGAAGGCTGTATGATTAGTGTGCTTGGTGCCTAGCACATGGTAGAAGCCCCGTGAAACTCATTTTACCTGAGAAGATTAAGTCTCTTAGGAGAAGATATTTGGGACTGAAAATGAGAGGATACTGGCATTTACTGACCCTTGTGATCCACTGGGTGGAGAGATGAGAAGCTGAGGGTAAGTGTCTGAGTGTCCTGGGCTGGGTTGTTTCTGGAGGTGGGCCTGGGACTCAGGAGGACAGTGCCTGGGGTGCTGGGCAGAGCAGATGGATGGACTCTCAGGGAAGCTACAAACCCTTTTGTTCTCTTTCTCTCCAGTCTTCAGCCTTGGAAGGCCCTCAGAGCCCAGTCTGGGGCTCTAGGAATGACCTCAGTCTTGTAGAGACTCCAGGAGAACTTGCTGTTGGCTGCTGCTCCTGCTCTGAGACGTTTCCTCTACCCCCTGGTACCCTGTAGCTGAAGAGGTTTGGAGCTCTGGCTCCTCCAACGCCCTGCTCTACTCTAGTGCTTTGTAGGAAAAGGGGAGTTTTGCCCCAGTCTCTATGGTAGGCAGCCTCTAAGATGTCTCCAATAATCCCCTGTCCTGGTATTCACACCCTGTGTAATCCCCTGCCCATGAGTGTGGGTGAGTTCTGTGATTTATCTGTAGCCAATAGAAGATGGCAGGAGTGACAGGGGTCACCTCCATGATTAGCTTATATAACAACATGGCTTACATCTTGCTAGCAGACTCTCTCTGTTGCCTTTGTGGCCTGCACGATTTGGTGAAGCAAACTGCCCTGTTGTGAGCTGCCCCAGGGGAGATGCCCACATGGCAAGGGCCAGGGGATGGCCCTCAGCTAACAGTCAGCCAAGAACTGGAGCCCTCCATCCAACAGGAACTGAATCCTGCCAGAAGCCACGTGAGCTTGGAAGTGAGCTGTGCCTAGCTGAGCCTTCTGATGAGACCCCAGCCCTGGCCTGCACTTTGACTGCAGCCCTGTGAGAGGTCCCGAAGCAGAGGACCCTGGTAAGTTGTGCCAGGACTCCTGGCCCACAAAAATGGAGATAATACACTTGTGTTGTTTGAAGCTTCTAAGTTTGTAATAATTTGTTATTTAGCCATCAATCACTATCACAGCTTCCCATTGCACACTGAGCTCCTTCTGACTCAGAGAGTCCAAAGCCCTGCTACCCACAGTGTGCTAACCCAGGGGTGTGGGTAGATCTGGGAGAACAGGCAAGAGGGTGACATCAGGACATAGAAGGTGGGGGATCAGGGTCTGCACCCCTCCCTACATTGTCTAGTAAGTACAAAGTGCCAAAAGAAGAGTGACTGTGGCTACCAAGTAGATGGTACAGAGATTGATATCTTGGGGCCTGAATCAGCAGTGGGGTCCCTGAGAACATGTTGTGGGGCAGACCCTATGCTGGGTGCTAGAGAGGGATCAGAGCACAGGCCAGCCCTGCCCCTATAAAGCTCCCAAGTTAGTGAGGGAGACCAGTGCAGCAATGTCTCTTTCAAAAGAATTTTCAGAGCTCCATTCACTGAACGCTTGGCATGTGGTGCTCAAAGCGTGTACAGGACCCCATTTACTCTTCATAACAAGCGCAGAGATCAGAGCAATGCTTATCATCCCATTTCACTTGTGAGCAAACACTCAGAGGGGTTAAGTGGCTTGCTCAAGATCACTCGGCTGGGTGACAGAGCCGTAAGCACATCCAGCGCTGTCTGAACACTCAGACATGATGCTCTGCGGCTGTGAGCACAATGACAGCCTCTGCTCTGGTCAGGGGGACAGGGGCTGGATCAGGGTGGGCTTCACAGAGGAAATGATGTTTGAGCTGGAGCTTCAGGGAGCTCCAAGCTCCCAGGAGCACCAAGAAGGGGAAGGGCACCATTCATCTCAGGCACTGGGGGCAGATATGCAAACACCAAGAAGATGGTATGGATGGGGGACTGGGGCACTTGGCACACAGAGGTGGGTGTGGGTCTGATCAGCAGGTCGAGGCCACATTGCACAGGGCCATTTGGGGAATTTGTATGTTATCCTATAGGTAGGTGCCATCGTACAGGCCTTTGGAGGCCTGGGCAGGAGTGACATGGTGAATGAAGTCTGCATTTTAGATACACCTTGAAGGCAGGGGTAGGGTGTCAGCAAAGGGTGCATGGAAGGAGAGGGGTGGAAACTGGGAGACCATTGTGTGGCCATGGGAAGAGCCCAGCCAAGCTAAGACGAGTGGGGCCTAACTTAAGGCAGGGTATTAGGGTGAGGGTAAGGGCGGAGGGGGGTTCCGGAATAATCCTGACTCCTCACCATGGCCTGGAAAGTGTTTGTGTCAGGGAGGAATGCTGAGTGGTGTCCTTCCTCTGGGACCCCAGCCTTCTGCATGTGGCCTGTGGAGAACAGGTCTCCCTTCGTGTTAGGGGAATGAATGAGGACAGGTCGCTTTCCACCATGTGACTTGGCAACATTCTCAGGAAGCGGCACCCTGAAGGGCTTGGGGAAAAGGGTGGTCAGAGATGGTGTGTGAGTGTGGGTGGAGGGGGTGGTCCTTGAGGACCACTCAGCTCCTGAGGCTGAAGAACTGGTTCTGGAAGGCAGGGAGGCAGAGCGATCCTGGAACCCGAGCCCAGTCCCGACTCTGGCCACGGTTGATTTCAAGAGTCATTTCATGGGGTCCTGGCCAGAAGCCAGGGTAACACTGAAGATTTTTGGGGCTTCTTGAGCTTTGCGAGTTGCCTACCCCCTAGTGAGTTGGTGCCCCTGTTTGTCCCTGCTGGAGCCGATGGACAGAAGAGAACAGACAGACCGCTGCTGTACAAGGTCTTTTTCTTTGTCATTATGGTTGATTTTGTACATCTCAGCATTTGCATCATACAAAGGGGGGAGCAACAGCCATGGCTTTTGGTCAGGTTCGGGGGGCTGAGGGGGTGCTCCTTCCCTCCCCCCAGGCACTGACACATTGAAAGGAAGCAGAGCAACAATGACACAGCACAAATGTGGGAAAGGTTCCCCTATGTGAGCAGGATGGTCGATCTCATCTGGGTCTCACTAGAACTCCCTGCTCCCACCCAGGGCCAGCACGAGCACCTCCCATTCTCTCCCCAGTGAAGAGCGTGGGGTGACAGGAGTAGGACTAGAGCAGAGGACATTTGGTGAGAGGCATGTCCTCAGGCCTGGGAGTCCAGGCTGACCCCAGCCTCCCTGTGCAGTCAAGGGCCTGTGGAACCCTAGAGGATGGAGCAGGTGGACAATGGGGGTGGGCAACCCTGCCAGCTGGGTGCCAGGGCTCTAGGGCTGGGGGGTCCACCCCACTGTACTCTAGCCACAAGCCTGTGGGGTGGCTGCTTTGCCCACCAGCTGTCCCCCTGATAGGGGCCCTGGGCTACAATGCTTCTGTCACTCTCCCATCCTCTCTTTTATATACACCTGGGATGGCGTACCGACTTCCTGATTCCATCTGGAGGAGTACCCTGCACAGCTTTGCTGTTAAGGATACCTTCTGGGAGCTTCTGGACTTGCAGTGGAGGATGTCCATGTTGGGAGATCCTGACCTGTCACCATCCCCAGCACAGGGTGATCTGCAGCCGCCTTTTTCCTTCTCTCTGGCAGTGCCTCCCAGGCACAGAGCCTGGGGCCTTCCCCAAGAGCTTGCATGCCCACCTCACCTGGTGCACGTCCCTTGCACCTCACTGCTTTCTCATCCACCTACAAATGATTGCTCCTTCCTATTTTCCTACCTGGGGGTTCTCTCCCCTGTGTGTTGTATGTGTGCTGAATTCCGGGGCCTCTTCTCCCCTGTCTGTCACATGCACATTGACCCATTTGTGTGTGCACACTCATTTCCCTCCCATCCAGTGCGTTGACACACACCTCACCTCCCAGGCGACCCTGTGAGCATCCCGATCCTCCTAGAGCACCCCTCATGTATTCTGTGCACTACCAACGTGCTGCACGCAGACATGCTCTCTGGGCCATGCATCAGCTGCTCTCCATAGCCAGGTCTGTATCAGTCATGATCGTCATTGTGTTCCCCTGGGTCTAAGAGTGATCACTTGGCAGTGGTCAGAGCCAGGTGTGTGCCAGGCAGAAATTCTCCCCGATACCCACCCCCAGGAAGACCTCAAGTCCTGCTGTCCCAGAGCAGAATAGAGGGGTCTGGGACATGAAACTAGACTAAGCAGCCATCCTGGAGGGCAGGCATCAGAGTGGGGCTGAAAAGCCCCGATCCCACTCTGGAAATACAGAGGGACTGCACTGTGGAGACCAACAGGGCAGCCCTCTGAGGGTCTGGGATCCCTCTGGCCCAGCTGGGATATCTGGTTTGACTGGGTTCTCTTGCTCATCTGAAGCACCCTGTGCCTTGGTCTCTCCGACCCCTCTGGTACTCTCTGTGTCCTGGCATCATCATTGAGGTTTGAAGACCCCTGTCAAGTGTCAGGGGCAGGGGACCTCTCTGAATACTTGTGTCCAAGTGGGGCTCATACACAGGGGCTGGGGAGGCCTGTGGCCCCCTAGACTTGGCCCTGCCTGTCTCTGGCCCAGGACCCCAGGGTTCTTGAGACTGACCATCCTGCCCAGGATAACAGACACAAACAGACAAGCAGACAACAGGGGTGCGAGGTGGCTCCCCATCACAGACACGGGCACAGACACAGACACAGGCCCCTGGGGGGCTGGACATAGGAGCACAAGGTGGGGGTGGGGGTGCAGGGAGGAAGGTAAGTCCAGGGAGCTGGAGCTGCCGAGGCCCTGCTCCCCAAAGAAGGGACAGACCAGGGGACTTTTCTGTTCCCTAAACATATGGATTGTTTTGTCTCGTCTTTAAAGTATTGCAGTCTAACTGATATGGCTTTAACTATTGGAAACGGACAGAGAAGACACATGTCTGTCTCTGAAATAAAAGCAGAATCCACTAAAATGGAAAACCTGCAGAATGCAAACTGGGGCCAATGGGAACAGGGGCTTCAGGGGCAGGCAAGTCGCCCCCTCCCTGGCCCCTGCTTTGGGGATAGGCCCTGGTGGGGGCCTAGCATGGCTTCCTGGGGCACTGCCTGGGTCTGTCACAGTGGGATTCTGAGTACCTCAGGCAGGAACCCCCCAAGGGTGGGAGGACTCTAGGCCAAGGACAAGGTCTCCTGTTGGAGGTGGTCAACAGTGACCAATAGTCTCAGGGCTGGGAGGGGGTATCTTAACCCCATTCTTTCTCCCCAGGCACACGTCCATGCACGCAACTATCTTTACAGACCCCCAAACGTGCACACAGCAACCTTCAAATATCTCATAATTCCCTCAAACACATGCTTCCACCACACCTAACACCTAACGCATACCCATCACTCCGATACACATACTGTTTTGAAAACACATGCATACACAAACTAACATATGCAGTCTCAAAACACATGAGATGGATAGCACACACATGTACAATTTCAGCTCAAATACACATCTCAATCAGGCACACATAGACAAGACTAAATACACAATCTGTAACACACAGATATAACTGCCACACACACAATCTCAAGGCACACACACACTCTAACCCTACACATACTCATATGATTTCTGGACACACAATCTCTGATGCAGTCTCTGCCACTATCAAGCATGCATGGATACAGTTTTCTCCCTCATTTGACCCCTCTTTCCCCACCATTCCCACACAACTGACTGAGCAGAAAGCCTTGATAATTTGAGTGGGAGACAAATGCCAGTCCCAGACATCCCAGAGGAGAGTTTGTCCTTGGCCAATGAGATGAAGGGAGGGAAGCCTTCATCAAGTGGGAATTGGTTTCTTACCGAAGGCTTGGGGCTTTGGCCAGGAAAGGTCCTCCTGGGGATCATGGGCCCTGGAAGTGCATGGACAGGACATGGTGGGGAGAGGGGTGGATAGGAATGGGGGTAGCATGGCCACACCAGTTGGGGGTTTCCCCATGGCATAGACCATCGCTGCCCGATGGCTCCAAGTGTTTTCTGGGGGCCTGAGCAGCCCCTTGACTGAGCAAGCTGGGCCCAGCCTGGCAGTGGGGGACCTAACTGGGGTTAGGGTGAGGAACAAAGGGCCTCCCTACCTGGCTTCCTCCATAAGTGAGCTAAAGTCCACAAATGATCCATTTGGAAGGACCAGCTTGGCAGGGGCCATGTCTCTCCAGGTGGGGGCTGGGGGAGGGGGTGCCCCTGGGCTGGGTGTCACCAAGGAGAGGGAAGAAGGAGAGTCCCAGCCTCCTGCCCAGATACCAGCCTGGTCAGACCCAGGGTCTCTCACTCTGGGCCTTCCCCTGACTCCCTGCCTCAGAGCCAGGCCACTCAGTGCCCCTGCCCTGACCTGGGGGCCCACTGAGGGTCACAGGCCAAAGGTCAGCATGCTGGGCAGGGCTGGAATGTGTCATTACTTTGGCTGGCTGGGGACAGTGGTCCTCCTGGCAGTGGGGAGCAGGAAGGAATGTATGGGGGTCACCATACTAGCATGACCTTAGGCTTCCTGAGGGGGCCCCATAGTGCCTTTGGACTTGGGTTCAACGCCCCCCTCACCTCCACTGGGGAAAGACTGTCTTCCCTTTTTCAAGCTACTTGGGAGTCGGGTGCAGGTGAATGCCCTGGAATGAAAGGAGGTGTGAGGGGGAGCTGAGGGGGAGGAGCCCCTGGCCAGGGAAGGGGGGCAGAGGCCAACTGAGGTTTTCCCCTTCAGAATTGAGACTTAACCAAATAAAAAGAAAAGAACCAAAAAGAAGTAGTAACAGGTGGAGTGGGCTGGGGCAGGGGGCCTGGTTACTTCTTGAACATGTCCTGCAGCGGCCCGGGCAGGTATTTGAGCACTGTGTCCAGGATGCTCTCTTCTTCCTCCTCCTCCTCGTCCCCGCAGCCTGCGGGGATGGCCTTCTTGGGCCGGGTCAGGCTCCCCTCGCAGGGCTGCTCCAGGGCTGCTTTCTCCTCCGCCTCCTTCTCCTCTTTCTTCTTCAGCCCATACTGGGGAGGAGGAGGGCAGAGATGAGCATGAAGCCGGGTGGGCAAGTAGACAGTGGAGTCTCATGGTCATGCAGCCCTGGCTGAGGTGGCCAGGAGAACTTCCCGAGCCTCAGTCCTCTCATTGGTAAAGCGGGGATAAGGATGTTTCCCTGTAGGATGATGCCTAGTCCTCAATGGGAGAGATCATGCGTGGAGTTTCCTTTAAAATTAACACCTGTCCATCAGAACTTGCTGCTGTGTTGAAATCCCCAAAGGTCTGAACACCGGGTGTTTGCTCATATATTTTGAGCCAAATTTTGATGATGAAACTTGGCTTGAACCAATGAAAGACTACTTCTAGCTTTGATTTAATGCCCGGCACTAACAGACATGCACGGGACTGTCTGGCATAGGATAGCAGCCCCAGACCCCCCGGGAGTGACACCTATCAGCACAAGGTGCTTAGGATGCTGTGGTATTTTTTTCAAGCATTCCCAAATTCGGAACTGCACTCATTTTTGGTCACAAGGATCTGCAGTGCGAGATGGTGGACCGTAGGGGGGGTCCACCCTCTTGGAGTACCTACTGCGCGCATTCTCTTAATCCCCAGAAGGATGCCTTGAGGGAGGTGTCCTTGTGACACCCATTTTGCTGATGAGAAGAGTGAGGCTCAGAGAGAGCTAAGGGGAAGGTGAGAGCTGGGATTCAGGGTTTCGTGGAACCGGTTTTACCCGCTTGTGGCCCTCCCCAGAGCGGGCGGGCGGGCGGGCGGAGCTGACCTTGTCTCGGATCTGCTGCCGGACCTTCTCCCGCTCAGCCTCCATGCGGGCGTGCTTGGCCTTGCGCTCCTCCTCCTGCTGCCGCAGTGCCTCCTGCCGCTCCTCCTCCTTCTTCTGCGCGTCCGGGTCCTTCTCCTCCTCTCCCCCCAGCATCTTCCCCATGTCCTTGGTGGCCCCTAGGGGGAAGGGGTGGCAGGAAGGGGGCGTGATCAGCTAGGGGTCAGGGCGAGGGAGACAGAGGCCGAGGGAGCCGAGGCACCTTCCCTGCAGGGTCCGACCCGCTGAGGGCGCGCGGTGGGGAGCTGGACCTCACCTCCAAGGGCCTGCTTCATGACGAAGTCCATACCGCCGGCTCTGGTTAGCGTGTCCTAGCCCACGGCAGAATTTGCATGCAGCGCTGCTGGCTGGCCTGGCTCAGGAAGATGTGACAACCTGCAAAAGAGAATTGGGAGTCAGACGGGAGAGGCCGCTTCACACTTAGGGCGGTGAAGCTAGACAGACAGCAGCCTCACCCTGGTTCAGACACAAGGCACCTGTCGCTCTGAGGTCAAGACTGAATGCCCTGGTAGAGGGAAAGGGAGATGGAAGAGAATGATTTACTGGGCAGACACGAAGGTGCTGCCAAATAGCATTTTGAAAGCGGTTTGATTCCTATTTTAAAGCCTTCATCTTGACCCTTTGTTCAGATTTGATTGATGCCAGGAGCATTGGAAAGAGCCTGAAACTTGGAGTCAGGCAGAACTGGGTTCCAATGCCACAGTTATTTCCTTATTTGCCATGGCAAGACACTTAACCTGCTCGAGTCCCCAGTGTCCTCCTCTCTAAGAGAGAAATGGCAATGCCCTTTCCCAGGGCTCCCATGGAGATTGGAGAGGGCCCAGCCCGGACCACAGTATCATCCCATCAAAAGACCAGCCTGTGTTATGGCCCCAGCCAGTCGGAGGCAACTGAGCAAATGAGAACAGCCAGCTTGGATAAACAGATCCTGACTTTTGAAATTAGACAAATGGAAAATAAGTTATTTTTATTGTAGTGTACATGTAATTTTTATGTTTTGTAGCTTAATATTGATTTGTATTTTGAATTACACATGGGAGTGTTGGAGACATTATCATCTTCTGGGAGCTTAGGGCTTTTAAACTACCTAGCACGGGCCTTGCAGGCACTCGACAAACAGTACCCTACCCCTCCTGCTAAATCACCAACTTTCAGTTTTTATTGTATTTTTTACGGTTATGTTTTTTGCCTTAGAAGTGTTCTCCAAATAAAATCTTAATGGGAATCTCAATATAAAAGAGATGTGAAAGTGGAACTCTTCCAATGGTAGCGCTGGGGGAGGAAGAGCCTTCCCCTTTGGCCTCCTTACCCTCCTCCCTACATCCCCGAGAAGCTGAAGCCCAGTGCTCTAACTTGGGATTTTCTTTGTATTTCGACCATTCAGTTCCACTGGTTCTTTAACAGACACAGATCTCTTCAAGTGCGGAGGAGACATCTGTGAGCTATCCAATGTGTGAAGTAGCTTCATGGCAAGCTGAGGCCAGGCCTACTCCCCAAGGCCTTTTGTTCCACACAGCCTTGTAGGAAGAAAAAGGGTTCCTGGGAAAGCATGGCAGATATTGCAACCTGGCTGAGTTCAGGGTCGCTGGTTGTTCTTTGATAGATTTTCTTCATTTCTCTCAAGATGAGAAGTCATATCAGTAGACTGAGATTATTTCATGATATGGGGCCCAAGAGCTTATCTACGTGATCAGGCCATCTCATCTGATAGGTTGTTTAGGGAAGAGAAAGTCATGATGTAGCAGAAAAAAAAAAAAAAGCAAAACAAAAAAACAACCTAGGAGCTTTGGCATCAGACACACCTGGTTCAAAATCCAGGCACCTATACTTACTGGCTGTGGGTCCCTGGGCAGGCTTCAGTTCACTCTCTGCAAAATGGGGGAGTATTAAGGCCTCCTTTTTATGGATGTTTGAAGGAGAATGAATGATACCGCTCAAGTGCCTGGGTGTCACAGGAACTCATAAAACGTCAGCCATTGCTGACTATGTGTTTGTGGAACAAGCCAAAAAGGAACAGGCTTTCCATGCTTTCTAAGAAATGTAGGCGAACCCACCGCCTGACCCAGAATTCTGAGTTTGAAGGTTGCTCAGCTCAGTCAAGATGTTTTCGTTTAAGACGTTGTGAAAAGACTTCATTTCTAAGAACAGGAAATGAACAATTTAATAATTAAGTGATTTTTAGAAACTCTTAGGTTCCTACTCTGTGTTTACATAGAGCTCAAGGAATTACCAGGTGGCGGTGGGAGATGCAGGGCCCTAATTTGAGAAGTTCCAAATTGGTGGGCAGGGCACCCAGGCTTTAGTTGCAGCCTCATCCCTAAGTTGCGGGGTGATTCTGACACGTCTCTCTCCTGGACCAGACGATCTTCGAGGCCCTTCCTCCAGTGCCTCTGTTGAAGCAGTCTGCAGCATTTGAACTGCTGACAATCCCACTGCACCCTCAAATCTCCTTCTCTCTTGGTTTTTCAGTTCTTTCCTGTCCCTGCTTCCCCTTACTGTTTCCTCTCTTCTCCTCTTCTCTTCCTTTGCCTTTTCTGACTCCTTTTCTTCCTCCTGTCTCTCTTGTTTTTTTTTTTTTTAGACGGAGTCTTACTCTGTTGCCAGGCTGGAGTGCAGTGGCGCAATCTCGGCTCACTGCAGCCTCCACCTGGGTTCAAGCGATTCTTCTGCTTCAGCCTCCCAAGTAGCTGGGACCACAGGCGTGTGCCACCACACCTGGCTAATTTTTGTATTTTTAGTAGAGACGGGGTTTCACCATGGTCAGGATGGTCTCGATCTCCTGACCTCATGATCCACCCACCTCAGCCTCCCAATGTGCTGGGATTACAGGTGTGAGCCACAGCTCCCGGCCCCCTCCTGTCTCTTACATAAGCTTTTTCCCCATGACTCCTCAGCCCCTGCCTCTTTTCTCTTTCTAAACTTTCTCTGGGATAACTCATCCATTCTAGGGGCTTTAATGACCACTGACACTGATGACATTTAGACCTCTGTATTCACTCACCCAGTAAGTATTAATTGAGCACCTACTATATGTGTTAGGCACTGGGGATGTACAGGAAACAGGACAGACAAAGCCTTGCCCTCATGCAGATTACATTCTGAGGTATGTATGTGTGTGTGAGTGCGGGGGTACATGCACAATGTGTAGAGAAATAGGCAATAAATAAGTTAAAAAACACATTTACCTTCTCCTGGATACCCATTCCTGGATGTCTGTGGACACCACTCAAACTCAACATGCCATTTCTGTATAACCAAACCATCACCTTCTCCAGCCACCCCTGCTTGCATACGTGCATTCATCAGACCTTGTTTGCTACTGCCATCCCTCCCCCAGTTTGCAAAGTAACTCTACTCACCACTGAGTCTTCTAAATGCTCACATCCCTGTGGCTCTAAGTAGCTCCTCTTCAGCCTGCTGGGATTCTTTATCTGAAACTCCTGAGTCTGCCCAAAAATCCTGCTGCCCCCATCTCAGCATGGACCTCTGAGGTGTTAAGCAGTCTCCCATTCACTCTGTCTATGCGCCCCAAACCAACTCTCCTTTTCTCAAGGCCCAAACTATGAATGCCTCCTCCCCCTCAGCAGGTGACTTTCCCCGTACTTCATGGGCAAAGCATAAGGGGTATGAGTTCTGAGGTTAGGCATGCATAACTCAGATCTTGAATCTGCCACTTTTTAAACTGTGCACTAGTGATTAATTGACTTAACTTCATTGATACTTGATCTTCTCTATAAAATGAGAATTATAATGCCACTTTGAAATTTTAGAACTACTCTATGGGATGTGTTTGCACATGCTGGGTGCTCAGTAAATGGTGGCTGTAATAAAACAATTAATGTCAGTGAGTGGGGGCTCCCTAACCTCCCCTCCTAGCTCCTGAGGAAGAAGCCCTCTCCTTTAGGCTGAAGCCAATTCATTCACTTGTGCCCTGGATTCCCTCTCTTTATACCTCATCACTCCCTCTTCCTCATATCTTCCATCTCCTCTCCATAGGTTGCTTTTATTCCCTCCCTTCTCTAACTCCTTCCCTAAATTCTGCGTTTCCCTTAATCCCAGTCCTCTCACTTCGTGCTGAAGTGGTCTCCACCCGGCATCTCCACGTCTTCATCTCCCAGTCAGGGTCTACCTCTCTGTGAGACCAGAGCTCTGCTGCCTCCCTATGAGCCCTGAAACTGCCATAATCTGTCACCAGAAACCTTCCCATTGCCAGATCCAAGAGGGTCTTCACAGGTCTCATCCTCCTCCATCTCTCTGCTGAATCACATGCTGCTGCTGACTCCCTCCCCCAACCTTTGTCAGCCTTTTGGAATCTCCTCCTGAATTCCATGACACAGCACTCCTGTGGTCTTCATCCTACTTCTCAGTTAGGTCTTCTCTCATTCTTTGCTGACTCCTTTTCTTTCCTTCAAAGCAAAGATGATCTCCAAACAAACTCCCCTCCTGCCACTCCCACTGCTCCTCTGTCTCCCTCAGGAATCTCATCTACCCCTATAGGTTTAGTGCACTTCTTTAGCCACAGATACCTCCCTCTCTCTTGCTCCCCTCCCCCAAATCTGCACATTTAACTCTCTGCTGGATATTGTCACATGGATAATCTCAAATTCTATCTGTCCAAAGATCAGTCTTATCCTGGCTTTCCCCACACACCCATCTTTTCCTCTAGCATGCCTTGTTCCAGTCACCTCAACTGATTCCTCATTCATTCATTTATTTATTCACGCACTCACTCATACTACAGATATTCCTTGAGTACCTACTTTCTGCCAGACACTATTTGGGTGGGCTGTGGCAGGGAACAAGGGAGTCCCAGCATGTGGTCTCACAACATTCAGTTGGGCTAGGAAGGTAGAAGCTGGATGACAGATCACACAAGGAATTGGTGAGTACAATTGGGATGGGAGTGCCAAGGGAGGAGACCAGATACTGTAGCTTTGCAATGCTGCCTGTATCCCCACCCTCCACTCTCCAACTGCTGCTAATGCCTTGGTTCAGGTCCTAGAGATTCTGGATTTGTCTGTAACCTCTAATTGTCTCTCCCCCAGCTCTCATCTACCCTCCACATGGCTGTCCAATTAATCTTTGTAAAGGGCAGATTTGCTCATGCATACACACCCTGCAATGGCTCCCCATGGCCTTGTTAAACTGATGCGAGTCCTTGTGCTGACCTTCAAGGCCTGCACAGCCTAGCACCCGTCTTCCTTGCTGCTCGTGAGCCACCTCTTGCACAGGGCTCTGCTTCAGCACATATTTCCTAACAGGTACTCTTTTTGAAAATGTCTGGGCATTTGTGCATGCAATTCACACAGCCTTGGAAACTCTTACACTCATCTCTGCCAGTTCAAATCCTGGCTCCATCACTTACTAAGTAAACT